AGGGGAGGGGAGGGGGAAGGGAAGAAATCTGCCCTAGAAAGGATTAATTCTGCAGATGCTTTGTGCTTCAGTAACACTCATTTGCCAAAACAAAATCCTTCAAGTTAGTGTTTTGGAAAAGCCAATATAAAGCACTAAACCTCATGGTCAAAAAGGAGGGCCTGACTTTGCTTTTGTAGCTTGAGAAGGGCAGGAACAAGAGCCTGGATGAAGGATCCCTTTTCTCCAACGCTCTGGTCACAAAGGCTGGGCTAACAGGAGAGAAACGCGGTAAGTTCAACCACGGTTCTGCAGGACAGCAAAGATCAGGAAAGCTATCTATGTCAGCCTCAGGTTCCGTGAGGTAGAAGTGATTAAGCAAAAGAAAATTATCTACTGGTAACACCTGGAGGGGCCCTGCAGGATCTGTCTGCTGGGATTCTGGGCACATTCCTTTTCCCAGGGGCAGGGCCCCTTTGGATCCAGTCCTCAAGGAAGCAGAGAAAAGGTGAGTGACTGTTCCAGGTTTTATGGCTTGCTTTGGGAGAAGACCCGCTCCTGGGAAGAGAAATTCTGGCTCCTATGACTCACTACAAGGCAGGGGGGACAGAAGGACAGACAGCACTTGCTTCTGAGGCCTTTCCCGTCTCCTTTGGCTCCAAGCACTCCTCTGCCCACCAAGATTCTGTATCTCGAGTATCATGCCTGAAGTCCTGCAGCCCATCACAGTGGCTATTATGGCAAGTTCCTCAAAATTCTGAGGTAAGAAACCAGGCTTGGTGGCCCACGACTATAATCCCAGCACTCTGGGAGGCTGAGGCAGGAGAATCACAAGCTGGAGCCCAGCTTAGGTGACGGAGTGACTTAATAAGACCCTGTCTCAAAATTTTAAAAATTTTAAAACGGATGGGGATATAGCTCATTGAAATGGACCTGGGTTCAAACCCCCAGTGTTGAAAAAAAAAAAGTTCTAGGTAGATTAAATCTGTCTTTGGTACAAATAAGTTGCAGCCAATATTTATTGAAAACCCACTAGGTACAATGTCTTATGCTCAACAACTGTATGAAATTACCATAGATGTATTTTCCTCTCATTATTAATGGATATTTAATGGGAGGTATTTTCTAAAACTTCAAATTAACCCACTTTGTCATAGCTCCTTAATCTCTTGTCGTTTGTCAACACCCGCCCCTCCTGGTACTGGTAATTGAACCCATGGTTGCTCTACCACTGAGCAACCCCTTTTCACTGTGCTAGAGGAACTTTCTAAGTTGACTGGGCTGGCCTTGAACTTGTGATCTCCTATCTCTGCCTTGTGATAGCTGGGACAACGGTACAAGTGTATGTGGGCCTTGCCCCAATTTAACTGGTTATTCTTAAATACTTCTATGATTTAGTACATATAACCTGTCCTTCGGGGCAGCCAACTCTTGTACCATCCACCTTTTGAAACCTTCTACACTGATACTTCTAAACCACCAGTTTTTTTGCATTGATTTCAAGCCTTCCTTCCTAAGCAGGAATGAATTTACCTTTATTTAAAAACTTCATTTACATTTTGCTCTTATTTTGTACAAACAGAACAAAACAAAAACAAAAACTTTGGTAAATGGAAGTCTTAAAAACAGTGACAAGGAGCCGGGCATGGTGGTGTACACCCATAATCCCAGCCCTCAAGGAGGCTGAGGCAGGAGAACTGGCAAATTCAGTCCCAGTCTGGACAATTTAGTAACTTGGTTAAACTCTGTCTCAAAATTAAAAAAAAAAAAAAAAATTTTTTTTCAAAGCCTGGGAATTGAGGATTTAACTCACTATTAAGTCCCTGGGATCAATCTCCAGCACTCCACAAAGACAAAATTAAAGAACATACACATATGAAAGCTGGAAATAATTTGAAAATGTATCTGGAGGAAAAGATACCATTAAGCATTTTACCAGTCAGGCACAGTGGTACACAGCTGCAATTCCAGCACTTGAGAAGCTGAAGCAGGAGGATCTTGGCTAGAAGTTATAATAATAATATACTGTTTAATCGTTTTCTGGCTCTATAAAGAGACATTGCTTTACAATTTGATTCAACTTTGTAGGGTTCAACTTCTGGGCATATTATATGTACACGTAAAGAATTTATTCCAAAGAATCCTGCCTATAAATCTTTTGAGAACAAAGAAATCATTTTAACAAATGAAAATTCTTTTTCTTTTTTGCAGGGTGTTGGACCCAGGGCCTTACCAGGCAAACACTCTACCACCAAGTTCCACCCTCAGCCCTGAAAATCCCAGAATAAGTCCCAACTTTACTTCTTGTCCTTTGTGCAACCCACTGAAGTCAGGTGTGTTATTACAAAAAGAAAAATACCCACGAGGGCAAGGAGTCCAGGAGGGGTAGTTTCCCAAGGATGAGAGCTTTCAGGAGATTTCTGAAGAAGAGCTCTGACAGGGAAGTAGAGAGAAAGAACAGTAGGAATCAGGAGCTGCTGCTAGGACACGGGTTCTGCCCGCCTTCTGTAAGGTTCCTAGTGAGTCGAAGGACTTTATAAAGTGTTAGAGACAAAGAGAGTGGGCCTTGGTTTCTTCCAGAGCAAGATGAGGTCAGGAGGCTGAAGGTACAATGTAGGGGTGGAGGAGAGGAGTCCTGTGCCATTTCCGGCTGCCTTGAGAGGGACGGAGGCCCGGAAAGGGAAGGGTCACTGCAGGTGTCCTAGAGGGGCTGAGCCCTGGCCACCACATGAGGCCTCCGGTGCTTACATGGTTATTCAGAACTGGATTGGATGGAACAAAAATGAAGAGAGAGATTGCTTAGCACAAAAAGCCTGTTAGAGTCACGACCACAACTTTGAAAGGAGAAGCCATAGTTGTAGAGTAGCATGAGTAAGAGCAAGGTCGATTATTCTGGTCAAACTGTAGGAGACAGGTTTTTGGTCAAAGGGATCTTTGGAGACATAAAATTAGAGAGAGATTATCTGCTGCGCTAAGGACGGGCTTGTGCCAGAACCCTTTCCTCACCCCGCTGTCTCTGCTTGTCACCACCCGGTACTGGTCCCAAGCAGGGTCACATTCTCTCTAAGTTTCCCTGCCATGAATCTGCAAGGTACAGATCTGCCAGGTACAAACTAGTGTTTGCAGCCTCCATGGGAATCCTGGGGGGTTCACAGAGACTCACCCATGCCACCCATAAGCTGCCTGGGCACGGCCGGTGAGGTCAGGGGCCCAGCCTCCAAGCCCAGTCCCTTCCCTCCACAACAAAGTGCTTTGTGCTGACCCGCTGTACCTTTCAGATGTTCACCCCAACAGTCTGCTGCTGAAAAGAGATTTGGGAAATCACTGGATTGGATGAGCTGTAACATCTCTCTGAGCTCGCACTTCCTACCTCAGAGAGTCCCCTCTTCCACTGTACCTCTCGAATCTGTGGATGGGCAGGGTCTTCTACATAACTTGGAGAGCCCTGAGCAGAATGAAAGCGCAGGGCCCCCTGTTCACAAAACAATAAAGTGGGGGAAAGCATTAAGAGAACTAAAATTTAACTCTTCCTTTCTCTTGACTAGTCATTGTGCTTTTATTTGTTGTTTAATGTCATTCTGGGTTTTAAGCTCTTAACAAAATTTAGCATACATCTCTGTACAGTACAATGCCAGCTTCAAATGCAGATATACAAACATTTAAATCATATGCAGAATCACTCCCTAAAATTATACAGTTTGGATTTCAGTCTGTATGTGCACATTTTGAAACAGGTCTCACTACATCACTAAATTGCCCGGACAGGGCTCAAACTTGCAAACCTTCTGCTTCAGCCTCCCGGAGTTCTAAGATTACAGATGTGCCTCGTCATGCTGGGTTTACTGGACTTCATTTACAGGACACAAATTTACAGATAAGGTTAAAGATTTCAAAACAACAGCCTCAAAAACTTTAACCCCAGTTGTGAGGCCTCTCTGAGTGCAAGTCACATCACCTGACACTGGACCTGGGGGTGGGGGGTGGAACGTGAGCGCTTGATGGACAGTTACTTTCTTTTTCTTTTTGGTTGTTTGAGACAGGGTCTCACTATGGTTGAGACTGTACCTGGGGGTGGGGGGTGGAACGTGAGCGCTTGATGGACAGTTACTTTCTTTTTCTTTTTGGTTGTTTGAGACAGGGTCTCACTATGTAGTTGAGACTGCCCTGGAACTCACTATGTAGTCCAGGCTGGTCTCGAACTCCCAGCGATCCTCCTGCCTCAGCCTCCCAAGTGCTGGGATTACAGGCTGGTTCCTTCTTTGGATGCGTCAGGGCTTCAAATTGTAAGTCCATTTTAAAAATGGAAGTAGCTGTAGCAGTTTATTCCTATCCACTAGAAGTTCTTGTTTACTTTCAGGTCCAGCTGCCCCCCTTTTTTTCCCAGTGCTGTATATTGAACTCAGAGGTGCTCTGCCACTGAGATGCATCCACAGCCCTTCTACTTTTATTTTGAGACAGGGTCTTGCTAAATTACCTAGACTGGTCTTGAATTTGGACTGCTCCAGTGAACTTGGACTGTGCTACAACACCTGGCTTCGGCTTCCGTCAAAGAATGGCAAATCTGGTTAATAAAAAGTGAGTAAAATCATATTACTGATCTTCCTGCCCCAGCCTCCAAGTGGTTAAAATTACTGGCATACACCACCACACCAAACACATCTTTTTTTTTAATTTGTAACTTTTTTAAAGAGGCAACTCAGTTTTTCTTGAAGTAGAAGTGTTTCTGGTAAGTTTTGCGGGTGTGTACTGAGTTTTGCGTCAACGTTAATTTTCATATGTGTTAGTTGGAGGGTAAAACATGAGGACAAAGTTCTAAAGGTTAAACCTATTTCCCTTGAGATCTCTAGTAGTATCCTGGCGCTGTGTGGCATCCTAGCACCTGTGATTCATGCTTCTGGGCAGGGTCTTTCCTTCCAGCAGACCAGGTGGGTGAGAGGATAATCATTCTGCCATCTCTTCTCCTTGCCTCGCTTCCAGTAGTGAAGTGGTCACCGCGGACTCCAGCAATGGGAAGAGAGCCACTCATAAGGAGGAAGGAACACAGAAAACCCGTCTGAAAAACAACCGCGAAATCTGGCATAAGAGATATTGGCCGGATTCTTTTGTATTCAGAATTATTGCTCACAGGAGATGGAAAGCCAGTGAACGCATATAGGTCTGAGCAGCAAAATAACAGTTCTCAGGTTGGCCTTGATATTTAATGTCGGATAACTTTCAATGAACTAAGTCTCCAGTTTCTTTCCAAGAGCAAATATAAAATCTACTCTCTGTAGAGTTGAACAGATGGAAATGAAATATGCTGAATTATGTAAAATGCTGTGACAGCCGGTCTTTGAAGACTCAAAGAATTAGAGGAGAAGTAAACTCCACATGTTTTGCTCTACCTGGTCATTGGCATTTGCAGACTCCATGTTTTCTGGTTTGATATCTTCGGGTGATCCTGAGATTCCATTGTAGGAAGGGTCATGTCATTTTCTAAGAGCGCCAATTTGAATAGGAGGCCACTGTGCCATCCAGGAGATGTGCCAGCCCCCAGGTAGCAGTGGCATCCGTGATTCTTGCTGTTCTCCACCAGGTGTGCTTGGGGAAATCCCAAAAGACATGAGAATTCTTTGGTTTTGTGGTAAGAGCCCCACACAAGACAGCACCAGGTCCTAATGTTGTTCAGAAAAGGTGAAAAGTCTAAGTGATTATGGTTAGCCAGAAAATAACTGGGGAATAGTGTCCGGTATCAAAGTCTTCTTTGTTGGAGGCTGACGTTATGCTACGTCGCCCAGATACTCTCTAAAGAGACAAAAGTAGGAAAAAGAAAGAGAATTTTTCTCTTTTAGCAAGTTTTGGGACTAGGGCACAGCTACTTTTCAAGGACAAAGCAAACGTCGGTGACCCACCAAAGGCCTTTAGTAGGAGTGGCAACTGGAAAGAATTCCATTGCACAGTGGGTCTGGGAGAAAAGTCTGCAGGACACATCTAGGAGGCAAATCTGCATGAGGCAATAATGCTATGAGGAGGAGCCTTTAGGCCATCTTCCTCGAAAGCCAGAGAAACTCACCTAGCAAATGCTAGTATGCAGGAGCACAGTGAAAAGTGTCAGCCTCACAGATCTGCAAATCACATTTGCAGTTCTCCTACTGCAGCTTCCCAGAACCCTAAGATCGCAATCATGCACTACCACACCCCGCTTAGTGTCACCTTGATGGGCGGAAACTCACAGTTTCAGAGCAGACCGTTGTTGGCCATGTTGTTCCATAAGAAGCGCTGAAAACATTAAGCATGCTTTCTGAGCTGGGCAAAGTGCCCTGTGTCTGTGCTCAGGAGCCCAAGGCAGGAAGAGCACAGCTTCAAGGCCAGCCTGTGCAGCCAGGTAAGACTCTACCTCAAAATAAAAATAAAAAAGGGCTGAGGTAGGTCAGTGGTCAAATGCTTGCCTAGCATGTGTGAGGCACTGGATCCAACCTCCAATACCATAAATTAATTATTTAATGAACATAAGGCTCCTGGTGTGTGGTAGGAAAGGCATCTTGCTTTTGGTTTTAGTGTTACTACCTATCTCAGTAGTCCCCTTCCTGCATTTCTTCCAACTCTCATGCTGGATAATCACCCTGAAGATCAGGAAGACCCAACCCATGGTCTGTGACTTCTCTGTTTAGAGCCATTCTGAACAGCAACAATTATTTTTCAGCAATCAGCACACAGTGGATTTGGCATGCTTGGTTTTGGTTTTTGTTTTGTTTTGTTTTTTTGAAACAGGTTCTCACTATGTAATTGAGGCTGGCCTTGAATTTACTACGTAGCCCAGGCCAGCTTCGAACTCACAGCACCATCTTTCTGCCTCAGCCTCCCAGCTGCTAGGATTATGGCATATGCCACCATGCACGGCTAGATCTGGCATGTTTACAGTTGGTATTACTTCACTATTTATGCAAGGTAGAGTAAGCTGGTAGTGTGTGGTGTTTAGAAATTCAGCTATTTATGGTAAATGTATGACTTTGGGTATCCTGATAGATATCAAAGACCTGTGTCTTCTGTTTACATAATTATCTACACAAAGTTGTTTGGCTCCACTCTGCACATTTCAAAAGCCATCACTTCTCAGCTTAAATAATAATATTGTAATGTTCAAGTAACAAAAAGATTTACAAAGATGGCAGAAAAGGACTCAGTCAATATACAACACCTAGATCTTGGCTCAGTGCTGCACCCCAAGACTTACAGCCCAGACATGAGGGGACTTAGAAATTAAGTCACTCCTGGAGAGTTAATCTGGTGAAGGAAATAGATTAAATCAGAGTTCTGAAAAGGTTGTGTTATCAGGCACTGGGGTGCCCAGGGGACATTTTCACTTGCTCTGATTAAAGAATTGGACAAGACAAGTGAAAAACAGAGGTTTTATATTTATTAAAGGTAAAAGTACTCAGACAAAAAGGGAAAGGAAGTGCTCTGTAGAGTAAGTGAGGACCAGTTATAGTAGGAAAAGAAGTACGCCCTGCAAAGTACCCAATAGGCTGATGCAAAGGCTTAAAGCATCCATGAGCTTCATGACTGCTGCCATTTTAACCCCTGTGCTGACGTCAGATCTAGGCCACGCTGTCAAAACCCTGCTTGATCTTGTGCCAGAAGAACTGAAGACAGAACCTTGATTTGCATCAGGTGCAGAGCCCAGAAGCTGTTCTACACGTGTGTTCTGAACCTCCTGGTTGATGGGTCCCACCCTATTTCCCAGCCACTTTTCCTTGCCCTGATCTCCTGCCTCAGTTGGTTTAAAGGACAGCCTGCCTTCACATCAAAGCAAGAAATACCTTAAAATCTGTGGGAGAAGTTCAAGCCTGGCTGGGCCATGTGCGCCGCACTCCTGTCTTCTGAGCAAACTCGAAGACCTCTCTGAGGCCAAACTAACTCACCTAAGTGTGTAGAGGCTGGGTCTAATAGGCTGTACCTTCTTCCCTAGTCTGTGACTCCTTTGCCTCGCCCTAGAAAAATCACCCCACCATATGTCTAGCCAATAGGATATCGCCCAATGTTCTTCACTACTGAATAACCTATAAGAAAGTGCTATGTAATTAAATGCTCCTCCCATGCTCCTCCCCCATGGTTGTCCACATGCAAGCTATATAAGGCTGT